TTCATGAGAACATGTACAGGGTGAGATAAAGATGCAACTAACTTCAGATTGCTGTCATTTCTAAGCCACTCGTCTGACAACTGTTAAAATTATTCCAGTGGCAGCTCATTATATTGTTTACAAGCCTAGAAAAGCATTTTTGGTGAGAATCTTCCAGAAAAAAGTTATTCGTGGTGAAATTCAAGCGTGATAGTGTGATTTCTTTATATTTGGCTGGAAAACCACAAGTGGCTTCGTTAGAGCACTTCAGCATTTAAATGTGAATAAATCTTTTGTGTCTCGTACCATTGCTCGTTACCATGATACTGATAGCGGTAGGTAGCCCGACGTCAGGGAAGTGGACGGAAGAAAACAGCAACATCAGCAGAAATGGTTCGAAAAAAAGAAGCGACCTGATCGAAACCCGCGACGCAGTGGCCGAAAAATGGATCGTGAGCTGAACATATCGCAATATTCCATTCGGCAAATATTAAAAATGAACTCGGGGTAAAGCCATTGAAATTACAAAAGTGCAAGAACTTATACCGAAATGTAACGAAAATAGACTCAAAAGAGCTAAGGAGTTGCTTCGCTTGGCCGAAAGTGGTGAACTGCCGAATTTGGTTTTCTCCGATGATAAAACATTCGTTATCCAGCTAAACATGTGCACCTTCATTTGGCCACCAGAACTCAGGCGCTGGTCATGGTGGTGGTGTGGGCTGTCATAACAGCCGATGGCCGCTCTCCGCTCGTATTAATCGACCGTGGGTGGCATCAGAATAAAGAAATTAGAGAATTAAAGCCTTGGGCACGCAAGCATTTTGGCCGCAGACCTTGGACATTCCAACAGGACTCAGCATCATGGCACTCAGCATGCGCCACCCAAAAATCTCCGGATACCATTCCGTTGGACTATTATGTCTGGAGTATTTTGGAAAGCAAGATTGGCACTAAAAATACCAAAGTGTCGATCACCTCAAGCAAGCGCTTCGCCGGGAATGGGCCAAAATACCGCAGAGCAACATTCGGGCAGCGTGTGACGGTTTCATTGGCCTCTGAAATCTAGAATTCATGTCAAAGGTGACCAATTCGAACAAATCAAAACTTATTCCAAAATTTGATGCTATTTCCGATATTTTTGCTTTCATTCAATAAAATTAAAAAAAATGTAAAAGTATGGCGTTTGACTTTGTTGCAGTTTTTTTATATCCGGTATCTTGGCTATTAGCATCACTGTAACGGCCAGGAGTGACCATTTAATGTATTTGTGATTTCGCCGGATTAAAAATATTCATAATATTTTCGTCTTTTTTTACATAGAAGTTATGGTATATTTTACCCGCTAAATATTGTCGGATGATCGTCCAAATTGGTAGGCTTCAGCCCGCGTCTGTTGGTCCTGTAGAACAGCTGCAAACCCAGGAAATGATTCTGCTTTTTTGTTCATTTCAACCTTAAATTATATTCCGATTATCTCTAATAACAATAGGCTTCTTTTTTGACCTTTACCCTAAAACCATGCTTAATTTCGTGATTGGGCCATAAATTCGACCTGTAGCGTGATCACAAATTAACATGGATAGACGCACAGATGGGCGGACAAAGCTCGGCGAGATAGGAAGATCCATGTATACAGTCTTATGACTTGTTTCTCAATGAATGACAGGTAAAAATATTGAAAATTGTGAACGTTTGTGGGTGAGGTGCCAGAAGGGGTTCGCAGATATATATCACATATAGAACTTGTTTTAGCAAAAATGTTTGTGTGTGAAATTTGAAATATATATTCATTTCGCTTTCTTTGCGCGTTTTGTTTTTCAAAATCTTGAACTCTATGTGGGGGAGGTATCAGAAGAAATGGTCTGATCTCTAACATCTTTATAAAAGATCTTGTGTTGATGGAAATATTGTACCAAGTCTGAAATTCGGATGTTAATTTCGCATTTTATGAGCTTAATTAATATTAAAAATTGTAACCCATTGAGGGGGAGGTGGACCGATATATTCCATGTTTACAGCAGATCTTGTGTTAGTCGAAATAATGGTATTTGTGAATTATAAAGAGAGCCGGATGCTTTTTTCGGATTTTATTATCGTTGTGGTTATTCAAAACTTAGACACTCTGTGCAGTAAAAAACTTTTTTTTGTAAACTTATACGTATTATGGGGATGGTACCAGAAGGAGTGGACCGATATTATCCATCTCCGAACTCGATCTATGTTTAAGGATAGTATTACAATGTACCAAGATTGGACCAAATCGAATGCTGCCTTCGAGTGTTATTATGTGCACCAGCCAGACTGACAGACGGCCGGACGAACTTACGGACGGACATCGCTAGATCGACTCCAAATGTTCTGTAACGGATTTGGTCCATAGAGACCTATGGTTAAAACTCGAATTTCGATGAGGCAGGTTTTGGCCGTATCAAATGATACATACCCTCTATAGCCGTATGGATGAGAGTATAAAATCGCTATTTTCAAAACTTTATCAATATAGGCCCACCTTTGGTACAGCAGTTACATAATGATAACCCCTGATTTTAGTAACTGCATGGGTCTGTAATTCATCGTGTTTAGGTGTGATTAAGTCTTGTGACATCTTCCAGCACCTATTGAACAATTTATTTATGGCAAGTGATTTTATAGAAAATTTTGATTTGCCGCTATCCCGTTTTAAGGGAGTTTTTACCCATCTTTTAAAAAGGACCAAAGAGATCCCCGTGTTGGCCCGCTTGGGGTACCTAAAATATTCTTTGTATCTTTATCTGCAATATTGGGCAAGACAGTGTATACCTAAAGTACACGGATTCCGGGGAATATTAATAGATCATTTCCAAAAGTGTCGAGGGATAAAATTTGGCACACGTTTTCGTATAGCCTCCATAAAACGGTACGTCCCGGTATTCAGTATTTTCATAATTTTAGAAACATTATTCACCGGACTTTGTTTAAATTACGTATTGAAGTTTGTAATGGGTACTGCAAAAAATTTCGTATGCAGAGCCACGTCTCCGCATTGCCCTCATGCCCGGCCGATATTCGGTATTTTCATGATTTTAGCAACATTATTCACTGGAATTGTTTCCAGGTTCGTAATGGGTTCTACAGTTAATGAAAAAAATTTGTATGCAGTTACACATCTGCGTATAGCCCCGGGTTTCATTTAAGCAATATTTTCCAGATTTTTTTTGTAATTTTCCCAGTTCCTCCCAAATGGTGGAGGGTATGAACAGTTCGTCCCGATCAATCTTAGCTGTTTTTTTCGCGTCATAATCAGACATCCCTTCCAAACTATTCCAAGGGTCTAATAGAGAAAATATGTCTATTTTAAAGCACATTTATATGAAAATGGCAAAAGATGTACTATTTAAAATGAGGTCCAATCCCCTGGATTTCCATAGAAATGTTGTCAAATAATAAATTTCTATGATGAACTACAGACGTATTTTTTGATACCCTCCACCATAGTCTGTAGGGTATATTAAGTTTGTCATTCCGTTTGTTACACCTCGAAATATAGATTTTAGACCCCACAAAGTGTATATATTCTTATCAGCATAAAATTCTATGTCGATTTAGCGATGTCCGTCCGTCTGTCCGTCTATCAGTCTGTGGAAATCACTCTAGCTTCCGAACGAATTGAAGTAGATTGATAAAATTTTACTCAAATGTATATTATATCTGCAGGACTTTTGGTATTGAGAATGGGCCAAGCAGATCAACGTTTTGGTATAGCCCCCATATAACGGTACCTCCCGATATTCGGTATTTTGATGATTTTAGCAACAATATTCATCGGAATTGTTTCAATTTTGGTATTTGAAGTTCGTAATGGATTCTACATCCTAAGACAGAAAATGAGCCATGTAGGTCAACGTTTTGGTATAGTCCCCATATAACGGTACCTCCCGATATTCGGTATTTTGATGATTTTAGCGACATTATTTACCGGAATTGTTTCAAATTTTGTATTTGAAATTCGTAATGGATACTACAACCTACGACAGAAAATTGTCTGTGCAGGTCCACGTTTTAAAACCCCCATGGTGCCTCCCTCTATTCGGTATTTTGATGATTTTAGCTACATTATAAACAGATTTTTTTTTCAAGTTTCGCATTTGAATATTGTAATAGCTTGTGACAAAAGTTGCCTATGCAGGTCCACGTCGTCGTATGGACCCTAATATACGGCTAAATTCGGAATTTTTAAGATTTTAACAGAATTTTTAACGGATTTTATTTTTTTTTTGAAATTGTTAAATTTGTACCAAATGGTGGAGGGTATTCAAAGTTCGGCCCGGCTGAACTTACAGCTTTTTTACTTATTTTTTTGTAAATTTTCAAGTTCCTTGCAAATGGTGGAGGGTGTTAAAATATCAGTCCGATCGAACTTAGTTGCTGATTTTTCTTGTTTATATTTAAATTTCATAAAAAACGAAGGTTTCGCCGAGTAGATCGGTAATGCTCTTCGAAACTATTCTGGGTTCCAACAAAGAAAAAATGGCTTTTTTAAAGCAAATTTATCTGAAAATGTCAAAAGATTAACTATTTTAATCGAGATCCTAGCCATCGAATTTACATAAAAGTTTTGTAAAATAATACATTTTTGTAATGAACTACAGACATACGTTTTGAAATTCAAAAGCGTATTTATGTATCCGGTCATGGGCTGAAGGTATACAACCTCAGGGGAACAAAAAAACTTGTTATTGTTTAACCCGCACGTTCACTTGTTCGTAATTTCTTTTACAAACTATTTTCCGTACGTTATAATTATTGTTATTTATTCATTTACAAATTAAATATCGTCTCTACTTTAAATTACTGCTACAGAACATGCTTGCATTCAACTTTCAATTACGCGCATATAAAACGTTTTCCTCGTCCTTTCCTTCCTTCCTACATTTATACATTTTCTTCTTCTTCTCTTTTCTCGGTTTCCAATACATTTTCATATAATATGACTGCCCCGCTGCCTCTCCTTGCCGTTATCGTTGCCGTTGTCGATGTCACAGGATATACCATTACACGTTGCCATGATAACGCACATTTTAATAGCCTGGGACCGTATGCGTTGGCTGGCCAATCCCGTCAAGGGACGTTTTCCGGCATTCGTCTGTTGTTGTGCAACGTGGCTGACGGGAATGGTGATTGCACTGCCATATCCCATTTATACAATTTACGTTGAAATTGGGGTAAGTAGAACGTAAACGTAATATGCAAAGCAAAAAAAAAAAAACAAAAAAATTAAATGTATATACAATATATATAGGGAGAGAGGAGGAGAAGCGCGATCAATATTAAATTTGAATTTTTAATTTAATGTATTTACATAACATTTTGAATAAAAAAACAACTCATTTTAATGGGGGTAGAAAATAATGCACATAAATTAGGGAAAATGTGTAATTATTCAAAATGAATTTAACAGGTTTTCAACTACCGAGAATTACAAGGAGCAAATTTGTGAGTTAAGAAAATTATCATTTTGGGATGGTTCGGAGGACTAGACTTGTTAAAAAAAGTGAGAATTTTCGAAGTGTCTTTATGTAAATTTCGACCTCTACAGATAAGTATTTACAAAACAAACTGTCGTCTAACAATTTTCATTGAAAATGACGGATATGATTATATAAGAGGGCACACTAATGACGGCATGTCTAAAATACTAATAAACAAGTAAAGACGACGTATCGTCGAGAGTTATATTGCGATGGATGGAAGAAGTAAACAAAACAAGTAAAAACCAGAAAAGAAAGTCCTAAAGTCAGGCGGGGCCGACTTTATGATACCCTACACCACGTTGCTAATTTTGTAGAGTTCCACATAACAATTAAAAGATTTTATTTGAGAATTGAATTATACACGCTATGATTATAACTGTAATTTAAAGCTCAAAGGACTAAATATGCCGAAGCATTTGTATCTTTTAAATTGTAATTGTAATTGTATTGTCCATTTGATGCAAAATTAGTTTGAAATCAGATAAAGATATATATGGGAGCTATATCCAAATCTGAACCGATCTCGATAAAATTTGGCAAGGATATTTCTGAGCTGTATTTGATTTATTTCCCTGAATATCGTTGTTACGGAGTGCATATTACGGCTGTGGGTAGCAAATACAACAAATCGGATGAACAATATATATGGGACCTATAGCTGTATCTGAACCGATCCAAATTTGGCATACGAGCTTCTAGACTCAATTCGGTCGTATGTGCCAAATTACATCTCATTTGGGCAAATATTAGACGTCTGGTGCACAATAAAAGGTAAATCGGACGAAGTTATATATGGGAGCTATATCCAAATCTGAACCGATCTCGATAAAATTTAGCAAAGGTATTTCTGAGCTGCATTTGATAAATTTCCCCAAATATAGTTATTACGGAGTGCATACTACGGCTGCGGAGGACAAAAATAACAAATCAGATGAACAATATATATGGGAGCTATAGCTATATCTGAACCGATTTCGATCAAATTTGGCATACTTATTTTCAGGCCTAATTTGGTTGTATGTGCAAAATTCCATACTATTCGGGCTGATATTACACGTTTGATGCACAATAAAAGGCAAATCGGACGAAGATATATATGGGAGGTATATCTAATTTTTGACCGATTATCTCCAATTTAAATAGGGCCAATTTCCTTGGGCCAAACAAATGTTGTTTGGAAAATTTCATCTCAATCGGATAATAAATGCGACCTGCATTTTGTTCACAAGAATACATAGACAGACGGACGGAAGGACTGACATGCATAAATCAACTCAGAAAGTGATTCTATGGAAATCCTTAAAAGTAACTATTGGTCTATCTCGCTTCCTTCTCCATGTTATAAACAAATGCACAAAGACATAATACCCTTACCACCATTTGGAACGAATTGGTCAATTTTCCAAAAAAAAATAAATAAAATCCATTAAAAATGCTGTTAAAATCTTAAAAATACCAAATGTAGCCATTAGGGCCTATACGACGACGTTAACCTGCATTATCAAAATACCAAATATAGGGAGGTACTATTATATGGGGGCTATACGAAGACGTGGACCTGCACAGACGCTTTTCTGTCTTAGACTGTAGTATCCATTACCAACTTCAAATACCAAATTTGAAGCAATTCCGTTGAATAATGTCGATAAAATCAACAAAATACCGAATATCGGGAGGTACTGTTATATGGGGGCTATATGAAAACGTGAACCTACATGGCCAAATTACGAACTTAACCTGCCTACTGGCAAAATAAGCAAGTGTGCACAATTTAAGCCATCTATCTCAATTCGTTCGAAAGATAGCGTGATTACTACAGATAGACAGACGGACATCGATAAATCGTCTTAGAATTTTACGCGGATCAAGAATATATACACTTTGTTGGGTCTTACATGAGTATTTCGAGGAGTTACAAAGGGAATGACAAAATTAATATACCCTCTATAGTATGGTGGGACAAATGAAACCGTCTCACGCTGCCCGAATGTTGCTCTGCGGTATTTTGGCCTATTCCCGGCGAAGCGCTTGTTTGAGGTGATCGATACTTTGGTATTTTTTAGTGTCAACCTTGCTTTCCAAAATACTCCAGACACAATAGTCGAACGGATTGGCCAAAATGTTTGCGTGCCCAAGGCTTTAACACGCCCTCCGGAATATTTTCGCAATAATATTCGGCATTTATTCCGATGCCACGGTCGATTAATACGAGCGGAGAGCGACCATTGGCTGTTATGGCGGCCCACACCATCACCATGGCCGGCGCTTGAGTTCTGGTGGCCAACCGAAGGTGTACATTTTGGCAAGTAAACACGATCATTTTGTTTAATTACAAACTGCTGGACAACGACAACGAATTTTTTCTCATCGGAAAACAAAATTCGACAGTTCACCACATTCGGCCTAGCGAAGCAACACTTTAGCTCTTTTAAGTCTATTTTCTTTCTATTGCGGTGTAAGCTCTTGCACTTTTTGGAATTTCAATGGCTTTACCCCGAGCTAATTTTTCAATATTTGCCGAATGGAATGTTGCGATATGTTTAGCTCACGATCCATTTTTCGGGCACACGGTTTTCGATTAAGTCGCTTCTTAACTTTTCAAACCATTTCTGCTGATGTTGCTGTTTTCTTCCGTCCACTTTCTTGACGCCGGGTTACGCTGCCAGTATCACGATAACGAGCGATGTTACGAGACACAAAAGATGTATTCACATTTTAATGCTGGAGTGCTCTAACGATAGCCACTTGCGGTTTTCCAGCCAAATATAAAGAAATCGCACTATCACGCTTGATTTCCATCACGAATAACTTTTATTCTGGAAAATTCTCATCGAAATGCTTTTGTACGCTTGTAAACTGTATAATGAGCTGTCACTGGAATAATTTTTAAAGCTGTCGGTCTACTTCTCCTGGTACTTCCCCAATAATGAGATCAACATTTAAATTTCACACATTCCAATATTTTTATTATAACGATTCACCAAAACAATTATGAAAAATAAATTGTTTTAAATTTTCTGTCAAAATGGTTTTGGTAGAATATTTAGTTTTATTCGATGTAACTATACATACATTTAACGATTTAAATATACATAGTTCTCTGCAAGAAATGTAGAAATTTATATATATGTATGAACCCTATAAAAAGTGGTGAGAATCGGTTCAAATTTAGATATAGCTCCCATATATATCTTCAACCGATTTCGGTTTAATTGTGCACCAAATGGCCAATATTAGTGAAAATGAACTGAATCTTCCGAATGAATTCATCCTAGAAATAATTATTTCAATTTGATGAAAATCGTTTCAAATAGAGCTATAGCTCACATATATATACTTTTTATCCGATTTGAGGTTTTAAGTTCTTCACCGTAATATACACTCCCCAACATTGATATTTGGTACCAGATATCAGATACATCTCAGAAATATGTGCCTAAAATTTTGTCAAGATAGGTTCAGGGTTGGATATAGCTCCTATACATACATCTTTATCCGTTTTAAGGTTTTTCTTCCACCAGACTGAATTTTGACATTTTCGACGGAATTCAGACTAAAAGCAAGTGTTTCAAATTTCGGTGAAAATCAACCGATTGGTGTTTAAGTTCCTCATATGTGTAATATGTAGTCCACAATAATGATACATATTTGATACAGGGCATCATATACTGCTCGAAAATACCTCTGCCAAATTTTATTGAAATCGGTTCTGGTTTTTATGTAGCTTCGATACACATCTTCATCCGATTCATGAGCTCAAATTGATTCATCAGTCAATAATAATGGGCTATATTTAAACAGACAGACGGACAGACAGACGAATGTCGTTAAATCGACTTAGAATTTTTTGCTGATTATCAATATATATACTTTATGGGGTCTACGACGTATATTTAGGGATATTGCAAACAGAATGACACAATATACCCTCCTTTTCAAGGTGGAGGGTATAAAAATCACATACAAGCTCACTTAATACAAATTTAGTTTTCCCTCTAAGACCTAAAATTTCTTAGCATACATAAAGCGGAGGATACGCTAAGTTTTAAGAAAATTGCGCCATAGATAAGGCTTCTGCATAAATATGCGTATTTTAATTAATTACGAGTAGAGTTGTGTCTAAGTAGTTCATAGTTCAATACCAATATCCCAGAACGTATGAGTGATTTCATATATTTTATATTACTCATACTCAGTGTTTTCTTACAAAGACCGAAGTCCACGGAACTAGATAAAAAGTAATTCGTAATTATAGAGATATTTCAAAGGTCAGTAGTAATAATGCATCACGCAATAACTCAGTATTTCGATTCTTCTGAATTTTTTTTTTTATATATTTATCATCTCCAAGCTTTCACTCCTATATTTATGGAATGTGCTATTGTTCTTATCGTATTTTATTTGGGCCTGTAGTGGACGTTATTTGTCATTTGGTTTGACTCTAAAAAAAATAATAATAATAATAAATAACAGTTTTAATACCAAAATTCCTCAATTTTGTCAGAAACTTCTCAAATCTTTTTTTACGAGCAGGTTGCAGATTCAAATTCGTTACTCTCCTGGGCTGCAAATATATTTAAATTAACGACATCATTTATACCATTTTCCAAATGTCGATAATACCAAGTTCTTTAAGATTTTTCTCTTCAATCCTGTTTAGATGGAACTCATATCTTAACCCACCGACCAAA